AGTAGATAGCAAATAATAAGTTAAAATTCACAAATAGACTTGATGATAAATGCGCATCACGTGCAGTGCTGATGAGAATTATTTTAGGTTGGTTCAAATGATGCTTTCAAAGTAAGAAAATCGGATTGTTTTCCTTCATGAGCTCACATTTGCACGTATCGTCGCGCTAGCAATTGAAATGTCATCAAAGCATGGGTCGGGCTGCACACGTAGATGGCATGCAAAGTACAGAAGATCTGATAGTCTCGATAAAGAAGAGGACACAGGACCTCTGGAGGCGTTAGCAGACAGTAATCCCCGAAAAACTGCTGGGAGGTTGAAGAAGAACTCTACGCTAACAGATCAACAACCTATGGTCTCTGAAAGATAGTGGAAAAGTGAAAAAGCTCGATGTATGGGTGTTTACGAATTCGACGAGCACCAAAGAGAATGCCGCTAGGAAGTCCGCTTTGTGCTTCATTTGTCCGACAGAAACTATCTACTTCACACAACGATGTGTGGTGAAAAGCGGACGTATGGAAAAGCCAACGGCGTTCAACGCATGCACTAAAGAAAGGTTATGGTGACAACTTGTTAGTGTGCAATCGCATCAACTCTCCCCAATATTCTGTGCTGATGTAAAGCAAAGCACTAGTACCATTGTAGAGTGCTATCACCAAATGTAAAAAACGCATCAAAAATTGCAACGAAAGCAAAAACACCAGCGAAACTCCTAATCTTCCACAGACCTTCGCTAAACTATACTCTGCATAAATGGTGCTGCAGAAGCAGGACGAATTTGCCTATTAAACTGTCTGTTTCAGCTGCTCATCGGTTTTCTTAGCTAGCGGCCATCATTTTTCCTCGCTCCTTGACAATTACTTTCAAGTTTTGCACGGGGCAAACTATAAATACCACTTCAAAGTTCCCGCTCAACATCGGCTAATCGCACTTCAACCAATCTAACATTGGGGCAAATCGGAAGTTTTGAAGTGTTTTTATGATATAACACGCTACGAAATATATCCGTACTATTTTAAAACGACTCCAAGCAAATTGTAAGCGTTTACTTTTGTTCCATCTTAATTAAACACGACCATGGATTTCCACCCGCTTAGTCGCCAATAGCACGCTCTCAAATTGCTGGTGAGAGATTAAACTCCCACCAAAAGCGGCTTTGGATTCGTACTCTGAAATCGATTGACTAGGAAGATGCCTGTCTCTGCTGTACCGCATTAACTTTGACGTTCTGTAAATGTTTATGACCATACCCATCCATATGTGGATTAACGCATTTGCATCTGCGTGGGTTAAGCTATACCGTCGAATCGTTCAAAAATCCGTGACCATGTGAAAAGAGTGCGGGTGAACGTGCTATAGGGTCCTTCCAAGCAATCAACTCTCACATCCAGTCTGAGATCGACAATCTACCCACAGGTATGTCCATCACCATAGCGCAGCACACCGAGCTCTCCGTGTTCACTTCCTTAACAGTTGTAGAGGTAAGAAACCTCACCAGAAAATTGTAATATGGTTCGTGTTCAAAGTGCGAGCGAAGCCGACTGGGAAGCTACGGAGCGCAGCGGGGAAGAAAAAGAATTTCTTTATTGCCCGAGAAGACAATGTAATGGTTGATGACTTAGCTGTGAATTCTATTTGAACATGTTCAGTTTTGACTTATCCAAAATAGGAGATGGTCTCTAGGAAATATGAGCTAATAATAATCTCAACTATTTGAACACACGTTGATAAAACATATCGAAGTTAAAGAAAAGTCGGTTTCTGAAATATTATTGTTATGCTTTGTGCTAGCTGATTATTATACCATTTTCCGCAGGATGGATTGTCCGGGAAAAAACAAGTTGTTATCACCAGACAATCGCTATTATCAACAGTGAGCATCCTGTATAAAAGAGCATCGTCGGGTGAATATGCCCTATTTCAGAGATGCTCCACTGAGGAAGATCCGACTCGATACAAACACGAAGGCGCCACATCGAAAAGACGAACAGCTGTAGACCATCAACTCAGATCAGATCACCTCTGATGAAGACGATGATATCTGAGCGATAGCTGAACAAAGATTGTTTACCAACCTCGTGTAAGCCCAACAATTTAAACAAATGTGGGAAATATTTTAAAAACATGCCAATGTTACTATTAGTTTCACCTTTATGAAGGCACTCCTAATTGCACAAATCTGTACCAGCAAAAGGCAAGGAATTCATAGATACGTGTAGGTGTTTTCTACAAGTTCAAGAAGTAGGGATCATTTAACGAAATTAAGAGACAAAGCGTAGAGCTTGCGGGTTAATCACAACAAGTGCTTAAGCCGGGAACAAACATTGTGGACGAGAAATCGACCCTAAGGAAGAGGCTCCATAGAAAAATACTCATTCCTTCCTCAAATCCTTCTTTGAGTCCGCATTAACTACGAGTACAACATGAATTAGGCGGTCACCATTCCGACTGACGCGGCTCAAACCACGTTAGCAATCCTGCCCAGCTAGCGATGATGTTTGCTCGGAACATTCGCGTATGGCATCATTTAAGGTTTCTTTGTTCGATCTTATCGTGTCGCACTTCTCAGTCATCACTTTTTCGCCCGTTTGGGCGCGAAACATCGAAGACAGCTGCCCGTTCAAACGAGGCGCCGGCCCCTGTAGTTTTTCCTGCCTTTCCATTGCCGTAAAGAAAAAACGATTGCTGGCGAGGCAAATGTGCAGCCAGAACACCTGCCTCTATGACGACGACTCACCCGAGGAAATTGCTCGACTATCGAAATGAAAACTGATTCATAATGCTGAAAGTTGTGATTCCAAGAGACCTACATTTATCCGCTGTTATGTTTATAATATGGTTTAGCGATGAATAGCAAAGAAGCAAACCTTGAAGTAACAAAAAATCCTATATGCTTAGGGGCCATCAGTTATGCTAGTTAGTGCTTACTAGGACATGAGACTCAAATTCTACTAAGGATTACCTGAAGTAGTGAGAATACGAAAACGTTAGTGGAGCAAAGAACATACTTGAAAATGCGCAATGGTTGGAGGCGCTCTGCAACACATGCCTGGAATCGATCCCCATGCCCATAGCCCACCAAGCCGTCGATCCTTCCGGGGTCGGCAAATTGGCATCAGACCAGCGCGGGAGCATAGCAGTACTGTCTCGATACATCAGTAAGCCACTGCGAGTCATTGTAAAAGGCCAGATATGCATTCAATCATCTCTAAACGATGCTAAATGATGTCGAATGCATGGCGCATCCTCCAGGGATTGATCAACGCCGTGTGTTTTTTCTCTCTTAACCCTACTACTGCCAAAGAACTGAGTTGAGAACAAAATCTATTCAAAGTACACAACCATCATGCCATAATAACTGAGGGTGAGCACAGAACGTTGTAATTACTGAACATAAGCATTTTTGACACCAAAATTTCAGTTTTTAGTGGCAGATGAGGCGGGAATTCAATCTCAGATTTTGTGACATGTCTTCGTCCAAGATTCGTTTCTATTCTATTCTGTTCTTATACCACACAAATTTTCTCAAACTGAATAACGGCAAACGAAAACTTGTACTTTCTATAGTCGATAGACTTTCGCAAATTCTCTTTACCATAAACGTCGTTGGGTTTTTCTTCCTGACTCACCAAGTGCTGCCGTTTACTTGGTTTTATGTGGTTGCTGAGCAAGGGATTCAAGCACCTGTCAACACCAAGTCGCTTCATCAGACTCGATAACCTCAAGTCAGTCAACTAAACAAAAACACTAAAGAGAAAGAGAATCTCGGATGTAATTTATTTCGAGTAGTGCGATCATTTGCGAAACAGGCAGCGTGCACAGACCACCAGCTGGTGATCATTTCAGAACTGTGTCCCGATTCGACACTGCTTTGTGGCCAAGCGATAGACATTTTATGGTAGGATATCAAGAGTCGAATTACATGATTTTATGCAGCCGTCTGTGCGAACTATTCGTTGCAGAGAGGAACAAAGAGAGAATAACGAGGTGAGCAGGTTGCTCGGTACCGCGACGATGTCAAGGTTTCTCGACTAGCTGCGAGCTGCAGTCCTCGTAGAAAATCCTCCACATCTCGTAACTTTTAGAGTCAAAAAAAATCGACTCAAATGGGATCCTTCGTAATGCAGACAGGAACATCAGAAAACATCTACGTGTCATCTTACAAAGTATAGAAATGATTGGTGAAACCTAATCTCTTCAGTTTTGCCTAGGTTCTCTTAATAGAGGACAATAACTCTCTCTTCTTGCTCAGCGAATTCACCACCCACCCCTCGCAACGCAATTCTCACTGAGGGGAAAGAGTTTCTTGTGTGGTTGATAGTCGTAGCAGCCGTTTAGTTGAAGGTCACGTTAAAGATGAGGTACGCATGTGCGGCCCGACACTGCGAATTGACCAAATTCACTAGAGCTAAAGAGTTCTTCTAGTAGGAATCATTTGCATTAGCAAAATCTGACCATACAAACTGCCCGCGTACATGTCTAGAGACTCAGGAGAAGTTAAAACAGTCGGGAACACCGTAACCAATAGAGGATCATTTCGCAAAGCCGTAAACTGCCAACATGACACGTTTGAATAACAATGTCCGCTTGGGATTAATTTGCCATCCCATTAAATCGTCAACTCTGACCCGTTCCACGCTCAGCATTAAATTTGACGGTGTTCTATGAACCGTAAACAATACGAATAGCGTCGTCACAATCGAATTCTCTACGAACAGCTTCTGCACAGGGTTCCTAGAGAAAACGGCACGTTTTCGACCGGTCAATGAGCACCCGACGACAAAGAGAGCGAAAACTTGCACCGAACTTATTGGCATGTACTTTAGTGGGTCGTCTGCTTGCGGCCTAGTGTCGTATCCCTCAGCGGGTGGTAATTTACAGTGCAAACTCGTCTTGAAACGGATCCCTCACATCGATCGCTCCACCTCCATCGTGATCGATCGATGATTCATCTCGTTAGCATATCATCGTCGTCAGATACACCCACGACGACAGCAGAAATGTCAAGCGCTGAACTTCAACAAACGGCGATGCATCGAAGTAGCCGTAGAACGGGACTTGAGTAGGTCGCGTTTAGCGGCATATTCATTCCAGGATACTGCTTCTGCTCAGTGGAACGGTAACGGCAAAGTTCGTGAATATTAATGTAGAGCTTTCCCATGCTAATTAAACTTAGGTTTTGAGTATTTCTGCTACGAAGATATTCGCTGACGAGATTCCGTATCAACTTGCACATTGCAGGTTCTGAAGAAGGCGAAGTTGCCGAGGAATTTAGCCGTTGTTGAACACATCTTGTATTAACAAACTCGTGTATGCTCAAGGAAAGAGAGAGTAACATACTGAATCTGAGTTTCACTGAAAAATTAATGGGCCGAACATCAAACGCATCAATGCTTCGTTTCAAAGAGAGAGTGAGTTTTGGGGAAAATACGATTGATCAATAAAGGCTATTCAATTTTAAGTATTTCATGCAGTGATAATAATGGCCGCAGTAATAACTTGATCATAATCCATAGAGTTAACTCTATGTAGTGGTCTTTGCTCTCAGTCAAACGAGGAAACACCTTCCCGCTTATCATTTTACCATGAAATTCCGCTTCAAAGGCTTTTCAAGGGAATCTTCTGTTCAGAATGGAAGGAACCGCCACCACATCTGCATTGGGGCACCCAGAAGGAGAAGTCATTTTGTAGGACCCTTGACTCTTAAGACCACAAAGCATTCCAGTTCCTTTCTTTTTTTTTCGTGAGAACACGCACGGCGATAAAACGAGTGCCGCGGCGTCGTCATGTATCGCAATGTGCAGCCGCCCTCTAAAGATGAACTAATTTCACTTGTTCGAACCCACATCCAAAGTTTATGGAAAACCGGTTTTTGAAATATTGTTAGGCTCTGTGCTAGGTGACCATTATGCTTAATAGTGTGGACTGAACCGTCCTGAGAAAACGAGTTGCACCGTATAAAAGGACATCGTCAGGTGAGGATGCGTCATTCGACCGCTGCTGATCTTAACGAAGCTCGACTTGCTAAGAAGACCGAAATCGCGAAGGCTAACGGCTGTGAAGCATCAACTCGGATGTGTTATAATACCGTTCGCGGGTCAAATTCCACTTCAGTAGTACGCTCGACTTGCTTACGAATGTGGCAGATGGTAGCATTCGAAACCATCGAATATTGGACCAAAAAACCACAAAGCAGTTTTTGCATTGAAGCGCCCAAGAAACCTTGTGTTTGGAAATCCCATCCCAGCACATTGGCTTAGGAGAACATTGAATTAGTAACGGATTTCACAAATAAAATAATCAAAGTTGACATTTTAGTACACAACGTGATGTGATGGCACCTGAACTGCCGTTTTTCCAACGATCGCTTAATGAAATGCGATATAATTCGATGTTTTTCTTCAATAAGCAGACACGAGGTTGTTATTATAGAATTCATTAGGATACAATAGCTGACGTTTCGGCGGTTTCGCCTTCTTCAGAGCCTGGAAAGGTCAAATCGAGACGCGATCTACTGAGCCCAACACTTTCATAACCCTAGCAAGTAAAACTTAACAAATGAATTTGTATTCGCATAAGAAACAGTTTCATTTAAACACCTACCGTTTATTTGTTGTATTTAGGTTAGTTGGTGGATAGCAGCCGCATAGGGGCAAAGCCGCCGAAACGTCAGCTTTTGTATCCTGATAAATTCTATAATAACAACCTCGTGTCTGCTTATTTAAGAGAAACATCGAATTATCAATCAATGCCGAGGTTAACAGGAGGTCGGTCTTGGAAAATGCGATATAATTTGTAAATCATTAGAGCACAGAAGCATAAAGTGTTCGGCGTTGACCAATCCGTGAGGGTTGCACTATGCATTGGACTCCATTCGTAGCGTCATAAAGGTGACTGGATACACATCTGGTCTACGGGATGACTTGCGGTGGCTTATCCGATGTATCAAGCCAGTGTTGTTATCCTGCCAAACAATTTGTCATTTATCCTATCATGAAAACTTGCAGCAAACATCGTAATTTAGTATGCACAGTAGTCCAAGCAAGCATTTTGACAGCGATGAAGCAATCTTCTTGCTGGGAAAGTGGGACCACCACCTAGTACACACCGGATTGGTAGACATACAAAACTCGGGTCAAACAACCAGTAACCAAATGGACAACCGATCAGCGCACACTTCTCCATTAACCCTATTCAACTTAACCACTCCACTTGCAGACGATTGCGTGATGACGTCACTGCCGGCCGCGCTGGCTACTGTCCAGCCGGTGTGGGCGGAGCGTGGTCGCGGGCGAAACGGGCGAGAGGCGAGCGCGCGGTCTGCGTCGTAGCGGCCGCGCACTGCCTCGCGCCGTTCGAATTTGGCGCGCGCGCGAAAGGCGGCGCGGCGGCCGCGCGCTGGCCGTCCCCATCGTCCCGCCACGAGGGCCATTCTGGTCGGTGTCGTGGGCCGGGCTGGGTACGTGTCTTAGTCTCGGGTCAGTGTCGCGTGACTAGATCCCTACTCAGCCCGACCGGCATTGCCTACGGTGCCCATGCTCTGTTCGTCATATGCTCCCAGACCGTCATGTTCTTGGTTTTCTTTACCACAGTTGGCTGCCGCCCGACCGGCAGTTGCCTCGTGATCCGTGATCTGCAGATCGAATCACAGCCAACTGCTGCTCGGGAAACTGCCGTCCATCCATGTCTTCTGCGTATACCCTAGTGTTCTCCGATTCCTTTCCAAGCCTGTCCTTATTTGCGGCGACGTGTGGTGCGAGTCTACCGTGTGTTTCAAAGCGAAATTTACTAGCTTTGGCACATGTTAGGCCGGCAATACCGCCCGGTAGTTCATCTCTCTATTTATGCCACCTTTAAGCCATCTAGTATGTTCTGCCGACTTTCCAACTATGTACTTGTTTTTTCCGACATGGAAAGAAAGGAGTACTGTATAGCTTCTCTTATGGTGTCTACGAAGCAGTGGTGTGAATCCATGCACCAATAACTTTTTCTCGTTTAGTACTCTCGATTAATGGCAAACGAATGAACAACCAGGAAAATGTGATGCTTGATTCGTTTTCATGGGTTCTGGAAAGGCCCGAAAACAGCTGGTGTGTGTTTATTGAGTACTAGTTCTTTCCTGTTTTAACAGGCACATACATCGTTGATGGCAGTAATGCACAAAGTAGGCTTTTAATTTAAAAAAATTTACAGATGGCCAGTGTTTCCCGCGTTCTACCCAAATTCGTGCTGGGCTGCAATTTACCCTTTATGGTTTGAAAGGCCTTATCAGTCCATCTACTTTCGTTTTACGTGAGGAAAAGCATCAATGTCAAGTTCTAGTTAGCAGTGTATGCTGGTCTTCATTTAAATATGTAGGATATACACGAAACCTAAGCGCAGGTACCTGACATCCCAGGCTAAACCTGTATTGCCTTTCCATTGCTCGATGGACTGTTCAAAATTAGTAGCGGAAACTAAGAATCTCTGATGAAATCGCAAGAATGTCCAGTCGGGAACGAAGTTGTTCGCGAAGGTCTGCCGATCGCCGCCACCATGTCGATCGATATCAAAGTGCAAGAAATTGTCGACAGCAGACAGTTTGAACACCACTGAGGGAGCTTTCTGGCCAAAGCGAAAGTTCTGTTGGTGTTCCACCCTTGATTTGAGACATATTATTTACAGGACATCATGGTCCACAGCACATATGCGCAGCAGCATTAATCCAGTAGGCCTAATGTCAGAATATTACGAGTGTTCCTCCTAGTTAGATCTCTGTGATAAATGTTCATAACTTCCACTTTCATTGTGTATCTTTGATGAAGTCATTCCGATACTGTGCCCAGTACCAGGCCCACTGCCTTTCTCAAGATAAAGCGGCAAGCCAAGCAAGATTTGAAATCAAACCGGCCAAAATGTTTGTGTACTTCTTTATTAACTCACCTTACTTTTCGAAGAAACATCACAGTCGGGACAGAGTAGGAACACCCCTGGTCCATTACCGCCATTTCTACCGTTTTCACTAGGGAAGTAGACACTTTTCTGATAGAAGTTGGTGCTACCTTTGATATTTTCTGGGGATTAGCGCTGCTTTGATTATGATAAGAGAGACGGACAACGAACACAGAAATATCCAAGTAGAAATTTTACTTCCAACATATATCCCGCATTGAAAAATAATCGATAATGAAGCAAATATGACTTGGTTAAAAAATTAATCACAAGACTGAGTACTGTGCTGTACATCATTAACGGTCTTCCGAATTACTGCCGGCTTCTCCAAACCTGAATCAAAATTTCACTAGAGGTAAGTTTTTGTGAATTCAAAGCTGCAATGAAGTTAGAAAAAACATTAATAAAAATGAAACAGCGACACAGTCAACTCCAACCTCCTTAGTCTTCGCTTTCGGACTTCCTCATCGCCAAGTGGTCGTGCTTCTTTCGATGAGGGCAGTAATTCAGTAGGCTCGACAGCCTCAGAAGTCTCCAATCCATCTTCTGTCTGATTCAGCACTCCTAATGAATGCGAAATAGACAACGGTGAAGCAAATAGAGATTTTCCAGATGTTGCAGAGTTCGAAGGCTGAAACAACAATATCATAAACCATGTGCACGACAATGTAGTGAACAGATTTGAAGACTTCGATTTTGTAGTGATATTCCAGACAAGTATGGGTGACGATGTGGCGCAGTGGTCGGAGTCGCCCTACAATACACATGAGGTCGACTCCCACGCCCATGGTGCACCAAGCCTTCCTTCCCTCCGGAATCGACAAACTGGTATCAAACTTGTCTGGGAGAATAGCAGCACTGGTCCGATTTATCGGTAGGCCACCGCGAGTCATTGTAAAGGCCAGACATGCATTCAGTCACCTCGAACGATGCTTAATGAAGTCGAATGATGGCACATCCCTCAAGGATAAATCAACGCCGAGAGCTTTATCCCTTTTTTTTATTCAAGACAAATAGAACGCGAAGAAAGTAGAAGAATGGATTTTCACTATACAAACTAGAGCAGTCAATCAGTACGCGGACCAAAAACGGTTTTCAAACAGTATTAAGCGAGTCTTTGACATTAATGGAACAAAGTCACATAATATGTTACAACAATAACTCTTCACTAAACCATATCTTAACTTCCCATAACGAATATCGGATGGTTACCGTTGGGAACAAAAGCATCTTTTGCGAGAGTTTGAAACAAAGTCAGGCATCGAGCCACTTCAAAAGCCAAAAATTGATTGGAAAGCATTTACGTATTTATGTCCTTTAAGAGAAATTATGCACTATATGGTGTCCTAAAAATAGTACAAAATGAAAATCCATCACTAACGTCCGTGTTGTGTCCATTTTCCCGCAGTCCAGTGTCCTTAGAAAGATCGTCTAAATGTGTTTCTGTAGGATTCTGTGCTGACAAGTCTTGTATATCGTCTACTTCGGGCTCCGCAAGAGGAGCTTGGGCTTGACTTTGTCCTAACATTGTTTGCCATGCAGTATCAAATCCTAACGTGGTAGGTAACGGCACAGGCATAGGCGCAACGCTAGAACAACATAAAAGAGAATTTGTAATATAACAGAAATTTGTAGGTATTATGATTTCTAACACATAATGACGTTCGGACTCAGCTGCCATAAAATCGACTAGGTGGTTATTCTAAACAAAAGCAAACATTCCACTAAAACTTCAGCAGGAAATAGAACTGTCCTTGAGAAATCACTGAGCAAACCAAACATAGTACACATCTCCATTACATTATAATTGAAAGTAACCTAAAATTGATTTAAACCTAACCCAAAAATGGCTGTGTATTGCTGCATTTGGACAACGGCTGCATCGAGCAAGGTTGAAATATCTCCCAATATTCTTATTCTGCGCTCCAAAGCAGATCGGCTTTCGCCTGAAGTAAAGACATGGGCAGTACTCTTCGGAAAGCAAAACTACGTGAAAAAATCACCTTCCATTGCACGAAGTTCCTCGTCTGAGAGCTGTTCGAGTGTACGTGGCGGGCGAGGTATCTCCATAGGAAAGGGCGGCATTGGAGGCATAAATGGAGGCGGAAGATAAGGCTTAAAAATAAACACGATTCTTGGCTGAAATTTCATGACGAATAGGAGGAAACTTGGAGACATTGCGGCATAAGTACTATACAGTGGTGTACAGGAAGTAGAAAGGTAAGCTAAGGTTCAGAGCCTAAGACGTATATCACCTACCGGATACGGAAAGATTCTTGCATCACCAGCCACTCCACCTTCATTCGTTGCTCCAGAGGTTGCCTGAACAAGTTTCCGATTACAAGATAATGATTCCTTCAAATGACAATAAATAAATATTACGTTATCCTGGTTAGGTGGCCTCGCCTGAGGTGCAGCAAAATGATGAGCCATGAATGGAAAGAAGTTCGGAGGGATACGTGCGTTGACCATGCCATTCACTGCTCCAGCATTGTTGGGCTGAGCTGCTGCTTGAGCGGCGCCACCCGCTCCTCCCTGTTGGCTAGCAGCTGCTAAAGCCCATCCACATAAGCAAAATACATTCAAACACAAAGCAACTAGAAATTATTCTAGGCAGCGAAAAGACTTGCCTAGAATGTCCGTCCTACAAGTGGGACATGTTTGTTGCCGTTGAAACCAGCTTCGTAAGCAATGTGTATGAAAAACATGACCGCACGGAAGCCGTTTCGGTGTTGAATCTGGCGTCATTTCATCGCGACAGATAATGCAAGTGGCATCCATTGCAGAAAGATCTTCAGCCGATACAACCGGGAACAGACTATAGGGAAAATAGTACGGAGATGAAAGTAAAAGTACATGAAACACATAAATACAACAATAAGATAATGAAAACAAATGCGTTACATCTCCATACTTCTTCTAAATAAAATAAATTACTAGAAATTAAAAGCTAGAGTCAGCACATAATAACTGAGAACATAAAACGCCAAAAATATTACAGATCTCACTTAGAACAACAAAATGAAGAGATAAAAAACCATTTACCCACTTGTTCATGGCACTGATAGCTCTACGACTCAAAATTACATCATTTACTGCCTTATGCAGAGCTCTCAAAGAGAGATAGAATGGTCGTACGGCAAACAGCGGAAATGAATGTATCCGAAGCATTACTGCAGCGAATAGTCCATAGAGAACACATCTGATGAGGTCTGAAAAATACCTTTCATGAAAAGTTTTCACTATTATAGGGGTCTATCATTTACTAAAGATGCAAATAACTCCTCAAAAGTATGAGCTTCGATACTACGATAGCCCATCTTCACTGGTTGTGCTGGACCCACAACAATTTCCATTTCTTCGGAGTTTTGCTGGTTTAGCCATTGTCGTTCCCTGGAGTCCCGCTTTCAGCTAAGCCGAAGTCCGCCCAACGTCGTCACCCCACAAGCAATCAGCAAATCTATGGATTAGAGGAAAATTTGTCGCCATGTGACTACTTTGATACCGAGACAATGATGGTTTCTAGTACTGTAGTGGCTTACTCTTAGCTGTGTTTCCTGATGGAAATGCCGCACTCCTTCGCAACCCGGGAGACCCTGCTGGGGGATGGATCCCCGTTGGACATCGCAGCACGACACTGAGGATCACCTCCCAGCCATGATGAAGGGGTAAACCGTTGGGAGGAAAGTATGAACACTTACTAATAAATAGCTCTGCGTATAGAAGGTATACAGCTTTGTTCTCCCATGCTTGTGCTGTTCGCAGATCATGCATGTGAAGTATATATTTAATCGTTACGTGAATAACTAACGCCATTAGAATAGCATATCTGAAAGAAAGTAGGTAGTAGTTTGATTAAAAGACGGGCTTCCTGTGTTCAAAAACAGTCCTTTGAATTGCTCAGCAGACAGAACAAAACTCACTCAAACCCAAAAACTATTTGTGCACTGGCTCCTTTCAACAACGTGGTAAAATAGGCATGCGACACAAGATATGAGTCTGTAGCACCAAGGAATGCTATGATACCTGCAAGCAATATTTATTCTGCACAGTAAAGTACGAAAGCGAACAACCACCACTAAACATTTCTTTAAAACGAAGAGGCTTGTCAGCCACTACAAGAAAAGTAGGAAAATGAACTTACACATCATCCGAACGTGGAACTTCAAAGTAATGACTGGACTTCGCTCCATCATATCAACACGATCGTCTGCTAACCAGTGAAAACTCTTCACGAATAGAAGTGCAACAAACTGCATAACGAACAGTGGTGAAAAGTCGTCTCGGAAAACGGTGAATGCAAGACATGTCTCCAACACAGCATGCCATGCTCGCTCCGACAAATGCTGGAATAGTGATTGAATTGTATCACACAAATAGAACCAACTGAATAGAGTAGTTTTTACAGAAATAGGCTAACAAAGAAAATCAACGATTTAGTAGTAATAGTAGGAACAGGAATAATTTGGGCGCGTGTAGCGCAGTGGACGAAGGCGCCCTGCAACACATGGGATCGACTTCTGCACCGCAGGCCCACCAAGCCCTCCATTCCTCCGGGATCAGCAAATTGATACCAGAACCGTCTGAGAGGATAGTAGCACTGGTTTGATGAATCGGTAGGCCTCCGCGAGTCGTTATAAAGACCAGGTATGCATTCAATCACCTCCAACGATAGAACAACGCCGAGAGCTTTTCTCAGCTCCAATAGGAATTTGAGGCTTTGAATGTACTATGGACAGTAGTATAAATACCAGCGTTGTAAGGCATTAACGGAACGAGAGCCTACAAAGAGTACTAGGATCTCCAACTGCGTTTTTAAAAAATCTTCATGCATATATCCAAAAGAGGAGCAGAGCATTTTCTTAAATTGTAAAACCCCGCACCCGTACTAGAGGTCCTCTACTCTCAGGAAACACAATAGATGAAGTAATAAGAGTCCTACAGTTTCAAACATGAAACAAACTTTGGCAGACTTACAGGAAACGTGAATACCGATTGTACAAAGGAAAAAACTAAGCGAGGTGAGGCGAAACACTAGAAGCATCTCGGATTAGTTTTCATTACAAAGCAGTTTCTACTTTTCCTTTTTCACCGATTTAAAACAAACCACTCCTTAAATTCTATGTTATCGTACTAGTCAAGTAACATGAAGAATCACCACAGTCAAGGAACAATCCTCGTTGTTAGAAAAGAAAAACTTGCTTTCCCTTAGCACAACAGCAGAAGTTGAGACTCCATGGTGAATATTTGAGAACAATATTGGTTTGGTTATTTCACATTCTAAGGTATACCACAATCGCCATCCCAATGGAGAAAGAGATTCTTCCTCGGTACGCAGACCACCCAACACAGGAAGTGGATCATCATCATGGATCACAACTGCAAGCAAAACAAAGGAACAGAGAAATGCTGCTAGGTTCGTGCAGATTTTGAGTGCATGTCATCTAGATGTCTACACTTCTTATAAATGGAAATTGATTTTTAACCCGAACTCTTAACGAATATCGTACTCTGTGCCTTAGCAATGACAATATTTGTTAAATTTCGATTCTTTTATAACCCTGACCTCTTATACTCAAGGTCGTCATTCCCATATGTATAACCAAGATGCCACATAAAGTTAACCTAAACAGGTTGGTGAGACCTTGTTAGTAGTAAAGTCTCAACAACCGCATTTAAACCTTTGCTATGATCCTATAAATACCGAGGACATCACAGACCTCTGGTATTTCCTTTGCTCACCACAATGATTCTGACAGTATAGAAAGAATGCTATTCTGTAATACTTGATTCAATAGACAGTAAATTGTCTTCGTATTAACCTCTAGTCGAATACAACGACAAGGGTAAACTGTGACCATGTTTTGTCATTAATAAAAGAAAAATAAGAAACCTTGTGAAAGATTTTCAGTAGAGCCCACGTTACGCAAGAATATCGTCACTTAGGAATCCCGAGAAATACACTAAAACATAGCCCAAAGAAACGGTAAAACGAATAAATCATCAACCATTCAGTAAATAATACCAAAGGAGTACAAGCGATTTCAAAAGCGGCTGTTCAGTGTGAGTCAACAGTAGGGTGTATTAAGATGGAACTTTCTTATCAAGCTGTGCTCAAACCCAGATTTTAAACGAAGTATCCGCAAACTGTAAAGCACAGAACACCATCTTCAGCAACACCGGTTGCGAAAGCAAGGAGAGGACGAAGTTTAAATCCTCTTCGCACGGCTTCTAAAGCAAGACCACTTGAATACTTATCGACTCATACATATCATCTTCAGATGTCGTACAGACTACAATATCTCTCACGTTCGAACCGTCTTCTAACTCTTGTTACCGTCATCAATGGAAGTAATCATTTCCCAATATAATCACTTTTTATCTACTGCCTATTTTTTTCATGGCAGAGTATGATGTGAAATATAACCATAATGACGCTGAGATATTTGCCAAACTCCGGACCGCTGCTGTCTGCGTTGGGGATCGAACACGCTATTACTCCTTCCAGAGGCTAACGTCTTCACCACTACACCATGCGGTTCCCTCGTTTCGCCTTTCTCTCAGATAGTTTTCTATCCACCGGCGCCATAAGAAATCGCCCGTCAATGGAATTGAAGGAAGCACAAATCGGCATTGAATCCAGTCAAGTCGAGGCTGTAGTCAAAATCATAATGTTAATCTCGTATTTACTATCTACTAGAATTTTTTACGGCACGGTATTTATAGCTGCTATCAGTATCCACCTGTCGTCGGGATTCAGTCACTTGCAAACAGTTCTACATGCCTGGAAGATGGTGCAGTGGTGAACACGTTAGACCACGGAAAGGATAAAAGCGTGTTCAATCAGCCACGCACACCTGCAGTGCGGAGTTTTGCAAACATCTCAGCATCACTGTGGCTGTAATCATCTCCGTTCGTCAACATGTTTTCGGCTTGAAATGGCGCCGTCTTTCCCTGGGAAGAAGGTTTTTAATTACGACGTAGCGTGGCTTTTCCTGCAATTCCGTAACATTCGTGTTAAAGCATTGTCAAGCCTTCAACACAGATTACACTCAGTGGTCCTTGTCCACCTTGCTCCTACACTTTTCTACATGGACGGAAAATCTTACAACTAGTCAGCCTAACGGTATGATGTTGCAGCAACTAATAGTTGGGGTAATTGAACCCACAAGATCAATTAAATAGTGATACAAATATATGCCTATATAAAAAAATATACATACACATGTAGGAATACATATATACTTATACGCATATATATACATATATATATATACACCACATAAGATTAATTGTTAGAATCCGACGTGAATTGATTTCTACCTCTGATGGTGCTAAAAAATCAGGTTTCAACTTAAGCCAACATGTCTCTGATACTAGAAAACCTTGAAAACTGAGCTAAATACAGTAGAACCTACAAGTGTTTCCCAATAAGATAGGTGATTTTTACTTCGTCACGACGAAATCTCGATTTGTTTCAAGCCCACGCAACTCTTCCTTTTCCTTTTCTCAGAAGTCAAATATCGAGCACGAGTAGGCGTAAGTACGACTCACTCTAACACAACACGATGTTGCCCGTTAGTGCTATTGTTTGCGATTCCGTGGGTTGAGTCAGAGCTTTAAAAGCTTAAAACACCTGTACAACTTTTTTTGAAAATCTTCTATGAACCAAAGTGTTTCTGAGATATTTGCAAAACTTGGGACAGTAGGTGTCTGCTGTGGAGAACAACCATACTATTACCTTTTGCGGACGCTAATGCGTCCACCACCACACAATGCGGACCCTTGGTTTCGCCTTTCTTTCAGCTAGTTTTCTATCTACCAGTGACATCACCAGTCCTCTGTCAGTTTACCGAGTTCCCAACTCCCCATGCATTTTTGTTTCAAAAAAAAATTACTAGCAGATGTCGAAAATCACCTCTCTATTCTAATTTTTCGTATTCTGGTTGAGCAAACGCGAGGTGTTATTTTATTTTATTTTATTCACGAACAAGCTGACGTTTCGGCGGATTTCGCCTTCCTCAGAGTCTGGAAAGGTCAAGTTGACAGCAATCTATTCGGCCAAACACCATAACCAAACAAAGAAAACGCTAAACCAAGATTTCAATCACATTGAACACAGCTTTCCAGACTCACCGCTTTCTATGAGGCTTCCACTGAGTATGTCGCGTGAAGATCAACCGCCCAGAATTCACATGGAAGCGTAACGTGTCCATCCCATCAGAACAACAGGCTTATATACTGCCCAATAGCACGCGTGATAATGAAGCATTACTCCCTGCGCTTCATTTTCGGATTTCTGGAATTAATCCAAAATGCCTCCAGAGTTTTGCGCGCTTGTGTTCTCGATTCCTGTGAGAGAATCGTGACCCGTACTTCAAAGTCCTCCTCCTTATGTCCCTGGGTCCTATATGCTTGAGTACACAGCCTTTCTTCTCTTGTCAAGACTCAGATTCCGAACGGAAAAACGAACAATCAAATCTTGTCCACAACGGAGAGATAAAGTCAAAGAATGCGTCTCTGACGTTTGCTATTGCCGCGCTAGCGTTAAAAGTTCTTGAATATTCTCGTACTTTTTGAAAGCCTCGATCATGAAAAAGTTTAAAATGAAATAATGAAAATTAGAACATTCCCCTTATAGCGACGTGAGAATGTGTCTTACATATGTTTTGCCTAATTCTCAACGCCTTTAGTGCTGGGCCTATCATAAACATCGGCACTTGTTCGAATGCGTTAACTGAAGAGCGTATGATAGGGTAAGGTCCTTTAAACGCTCTCAGCGTCGTCTTTAGGGACAAGTTCAAAGAGATTCATCAACAGAGACGAGGTCTTAGACCTCTGGTGTAACAGAATAGAATTTGGAGTTGAAAAGAAACCACTATCCAACACAGTGGAACTCTTTTGTTAGCAAGAATCTGAAGCTTTATTTTAATAAAGTTCTAAAAACCACTTAAAAACTGGAATAAAAACAAAATCAGGTATACGATGTTAAAAAAGGACACTAATGTACTCGAAAGTTCCTTTAAAATAGCATTACGAAAACTTACTTCTGCCTCGGAAGCTCGCAGTTCACCAAAGAAAATCTTTCGAACCACTTGGAACAGTATATACACCAAAATAAGAGCTTGAACATAAATTACCTGAAAGAGACAGATAACAGGTAAAGAATGAACGAAGCAACAGATACTTAGCAGTTCTCATAGACCACAATAATATCCTATCGCTTATTATGTTGAAGAATGAGTCTACCGATGTTCAGCAGAAGCTCGACTTGTAAAACCAATGATTAAAAACAGATTTGTTTTCATTTTTCATAGGTGTCTTACGACCTACATATATCTTTATTGGATAATAAAAATTGGTACCCTGATTTCCACAAGCAGTAGTTACAAACACTTTCCTGAAGAAAGGACTTGAACCAGACAAATCCCCTTGCTTTACTAAGAGAAAGTGACTTTATAAACCAAATCAAACGCAGTTCTTCATCAAGCAGTTGGAAAAATACAAAAATTCGATTTCCGTCTTCCAACATCTACAAGAAAAAACCTTGGCATTTAGTAACTGGGTGGAACACAATCATTACCATGCAAGTTTGAACTCATTTACATCATCTGCCCAATTAGAACGCAGAAATTAAGATATTGGTGACAATATTAGTTATATGTACCGGCCTAAGCAATACCGCACAAGTGACAGATAACTTGTTCCTTCCTAGACATTTATTTCACTACACAGAACTTTCCTGCATTACTTTTTTCTCATTCGCTAGCTTATCCAACGCAAAAATAGCAGGCGCCAACTAAGAAAAGTTCAAATCCACAGTTAGTAATTTACATAAAACATTCCTCGTAAAACTTCATTCCTCTGAATGAAACCCGCGACGAATTCCATAACCTACTCTACCAGCATGCCGAAATTTGCCACTTAAGAGCACCTTAGCGTCACGATTAGACGACAAACCACTAAGAATTGAGCACAGGTCTTTGAAATAGGTAGACAGACTAGAAATATCTACACATTCATCAATGTGTTTCCACATAACAACATTAAAAAATCTCAACTCTTAGTGTCATAATCTTCCACTAATGTTATATATGTTGTCATCTGAAATCACGTCTACAAAAAAGGATAAACTTCTGTCTTGATCCCCTGAGTGATGCGCCAAGCATTCGACTTCATTAAGCATCCTTGGAGATGACCGAATGCATATCTGGCCTTTACAATAACTCTCAGTGGCCTCTCTGTGTATCGAGCCAGTGCTGATATCCTACCATACAAGTCTTACACCAATTCGCCGACCTCGGAGAGATAGAAAGCTTGGTGAACTTTCGGCGTAGAGATCGATCCCATGTATATTACAGGTTGTCTCCCACCAACACGCTACACGCGCCCACGTCTACGTCTACAAAATCAATGGTAAATATTGCAATGGTCCTTTATGTGGTAATTATTGCAAAAATCTAAACAAAAATATTGCTGCAATGGCTACTTAGCGCGTGGAGCGGCGTAGATGGACGTGGTGCCCTGTCATATAAATGTGGTCACAGATTTGATCCCCTGCCCTCGGCTCGCCAAACCTTCAATCCCTCCAAGGTTGACAAATTAGCGTTAGAGTTGCCTGAAAGGATAAAAGCATTGACTTGGTTCATCGGTAGACTATAAACTATCGTAATTAATTATATCGGCCAGGTATGTATTCATTCATCTTGAGCGGTGCTTGATGAAGCTAAATGTGTAACACACCTCTCACTGATTGATCAACATCAAAAGCATTACAATTTTAACTTATTATTTACTGCCTACTCTTTTCAACGGCAGGGTATTCGTTGTCAAATATAACTTCAATGGCGCTGAGATATTTGCAAAACTCCGGACAGCAGGTGTGTGCGGTGGGGAACGAACGCGCTATTGTCCTTCCCGGGGAGTAGCCTGGGCTCAATGCCGATTTGGGTCCCCAGATCAATCGCGTTGACGGGTGATTGCTGATGGCAAAAGATCGATAGAACTAGCTGAGGGACAGGTGAAACGAAGGACCCACGTGGTGTGGTGGTGAACGCGCTACCATCCGGAAAGGACAATAGCGCGTTCGTTCCCCACCGGATACACCTGCGGTCCAGAGTTCTGCAAATATCTCAGCACCATTGAAGTTATCAAAAGCATTAGTTTATTGGCTGCATCTACTTGCCAGTCGATTGGTATGTATTCTACTAAATTCCACACGATGTCTATACAGTTCCTTAAAACGGTCAACACAATATCTGTTTCTTTGATTGCTAATTTCTACGACATGGATACTTCCGAGCCCGGATATCTGCGCGCCGTCCAATTGAATCAAACAAGGATTTCCGGCTTTGTTATCCTCTCATTCGATAAAATGCTTATCAAAAATGGAAAAATGAAAAAGCACCCAAGCATGTGTACTTTTTGTACATTTACAGAATAGGTCCTCTATACCATAATAGTGTCTCCTCCACAATTCGCGTAAAAATGGCTCGATATGTTACTCGCAATCACTACGGCGGTTGAAGTGATTAATGGCAAAAGATCAATGGAACCAGCTGAGAGACAAGCGAAACGAATGACCCACATGGTATGGTGGTGAACGCGTTACTCCCGGAAAGGACAATAGCGCGTTCGTTCCCCACCTCAGACACCTGCGGTCGGGAGTTTTGCAGATATCTCAGCACCATTAAAATTAAAGAGAATCTTCAACAACGTAAAAAAAAACCACCGTAATATAGTTATCACGCCCTACAAAAGGTTACTACAGAGAAAGCAGTGCGGTTGGATGGTAGTCAGGTCTCCTTTTGGTACACACTCATTCACCTATGAATTACGCAAGATTAATTCCGTGAGCGAACCAACGTTACAGATCGTCCCACACCCCCACACTCAAAACTGACGTCGTTAATGTGTTAATAAGACCGTTCCCACAGTAATGTAGCTTTCCCCCTCCTATGTGAAAAATTAAAAACTGCAGTTTCATGGTACAAATCAGTACCGAAGTATTCGAATATAGAAATAGCGCAGAAGAGCAATCTTATTTCTTGTCAAGGTGGAAGTCATTTATATATTCAGTGAAAAACAAAGTAAATAGGAAAAAAACTAAAACACAAAAGAAAAACGCACAGCGGCTCAAAACAGTCTCCGAAGTTATGCTAACAAGAAACTATTCAATGAAAGACCGTATCTCTAACAAGCACATAAGTACTGAGAGGCATGATGGGACACTTCACATTCTGATGTTTTTCTTCCTTCCCACTCCCTTTCCACAGACTTTGAGTTAGGACTCTGTAAACAACTTACCATCATACTAGCATTGCTCTTAGTAATATAAACGATCGATGGATAGAACTGCTTATTGATGACGAAAGCATTTGCAATAGTGGCAGCGGTGGCTACAAACGAAGCGAAAGCAAGAAGACCTGGTGAAACGTGCATGTGGAGAGGTGGAGAGTGCTAAACTAAGCACCTTCGCTTAACGACTGCCCCTGAAGTGAAAGAAGCATTCAACGGAAGTATACACCAATGAATGAAACGCACCGCACTTCTCTGTTCAATGATATGAACGGGGAATATTTCCTAGCGTGGAAATTTGAAAACTTCCAAGGACACCTTAACATAAAGGTTAAATGTCTATGAATAAAAAAATACTACGAATAGAATGAATTTAAAATCGACAAGAAACTAGACACAGTTCACCTTTAACAATACAACAGCTAGCATTTCAACGTATAGCGGGAACTAACAGAAACTATTACTATGCTGACCTTCCCCACCTCATAATACCTTTCCCCGGGAATAAATACATCAATAGTCAAGAGATCATTTTCAAAGGAATGTGTCCTAAGAAAATGAAAGAACGACAGAAAACTCGTTAGGAAACGAAATATCTCGTCGGGTGAACCAACACATGATAAAACACATCACAGTAGATAGAATAAGTTAGCTTTATAATAATTAAATAAATCACAGTAACAGCAAGTATTTGCCCCTCAACGGTACTGTATGGCGATACATCAAAAACAGGTAAACGAACTTCTAGTAATTTAGCAATGAATCCTTCAATGCGGTGGCTCGAAATAGATGTTTAGAAGAAAAAAGGCGAAAAAGGAACGTTGGAAAAAGGAAGATGTTACACGATATCCTATCATATCACAATATCTATGAAGTTTGTAAGACACACTAACCACCAGTTAAGTAACTAAGCGAACCGTTGCTCTTGTCGCAGTGAGCAAACCTTTACTTTCTTGAAACCAATATCAGCATAACCCTACAATTTGATCCCACATAAATTTTGTTGTTAGAACAATTCGTGGCCAAGACGATATAGAGCGGACCGAATCAACACCACGCTACGTTAGAAACAGAATGAATACTATGAAGAATACCATGAGCACCCCAAAAACTTTGATCATTAACCAACGATTTTTGCTAATGGTGTGAAAATACTTGACAAGTTCGGTGTGTGCTGCATCAATATTTATAGCCACATCCTCAACATTTGAGTCGATCCTAAAGAGATAAACGTCAGAATCACAGCAAAGTAGAAAACTTTCTTACAAACAAAAACGCAATTAGCGTATTATTCTAACGTTGATCTCTTTCATTGATGTTTCGGCGGACACCGCCTTCTGCAGCTGAAGAGACCGTATTGATACGCCACTTAGAAAGAGTAGTTCGTTTCAGCGTTCCAAACATTAAAATTATAATCGCGCTCCCATGATAGAAACAGGAAAGGTTATTGTGGAGCGATAAATCTACCGTAACGCACTGCCTTGTGAGCACCAAATCGGAGAGAAAGAATGGTTTCGAAATGTAACATGAAAAACGAATTACGAAGTATAATAAGGGATAAAGCTCTAGGCGTTGACCAATGCCTGAGTGTGAGCCATGCATTCGACTTCACTAAGCATCTTTGGAGGTCACTGAATGCATTACTGGCCTTTACAATAACTTGCGGTGGCCTATCAATGTACCGAGTCAATGCTGCTATTCTCCCGGACAGGTTTGGCAACAATTTTTCAATCCCAGAGAAACAGAAAGCTTAGTGGGCCAGGGTGGTCGACTTGGGAAAAGGAGATCAAATCACCCAGAAGACAACGAGTGTATCCAACGAAAAAGAACTCACCTAGTGATCATTTCGCCCTGTTCGCTAACTAAATTTGCCAGCTGAGAGAAAATCTGTCCCAATTCAGATATAGAACCTTCAATCGTTTCCATTGCAGTCGAACGTGCTTGTACATAAGCATTGGATTCATCCGTAAGAGTCATCTGGAAATGTGAAAAATCGCTTGCGCTGCTTCATTACTTAAAAGGGAATAAACCAATTAATCAACTAAAAATAATTTTAGTGAAAATCCACACTTGCTGCTGCACTCGCATTTGTTCCATAGCATTCATATCTAATGTAACACTGCTCCCACGAGGAACGCCGTGCTGATTGTCGTCATCGAGTAGTCGTGAACGAACTAAAGAAATACAGGAATAGGCGTCGGACACAATATAAGAAGGATGCTGCATTTCACGATAACCTAAGCAATTTTAACAAAAAAAAAAAACATTATGGTTTGGTTACTTATATGAAACAGATGCACCAAACACCTAAGAAAATAACTCGAAAACACCTACCATTCGAGCCACTTGAAGAAGACGGTAGCGACATAGGTATGGGCTCGGCATGCGAAAATTTCTCGCGTCTAATTTTTTGATGTTTCAAATTCTGAGAAACATTTATTATTATTAAGGATTTATTCACGTACTTAAAGCTGCAACAGAACAATCACTAAATAAAAGCATCGAACTCGCCTCAGTACTGATTTCCAGCACGCTTTGAAAATCCTTACTTACACTAGCCAATTTAGATTGAAGACCAACAACAACGAGCTGACTGAACAACAAAACATTCTTCGTCTTGAAAAGATTTTAATAACTACCATTCAATAAACCTACGAATGGCCAGTGCCCTGATTCCTAGTCCCTCCACGCCTTCTTGAGAACTCCTGAAGTGCAGCAATCTGCTTGTTCAATCCAGTAATGTCCTAAAAGATCACATTAAACAGGTCATGCGGAATAATGTAACCATGCACAACGGCATACATACATGTGTATATATATATACGTATATATATGTATACGTATGCATACATATGATATAGTAATATGACATAACATGTATATAATAATAGTATATAATAAAATAAATATATACATATATGTAGTGGACCTGTTTATTTATACACCCATGGGTACAAATACGACTATTCCTCGAACTCGCACGGTCTGTCTGTTAATGATTTCGTAATAATTTGGCTCAAGAATAAAGAAAACGTTTAACATTGGATAATTATTCAGGAACCAGGTCACTGACTACGTCATACATTTTAGTGGTAAAACGACTAAAACAAAATAGAACTGAACAAACTATTTTGGGTACAATGTTATACCTTTTTATTTTCTGCCTACTATAGTTTCGCGGCAGGGTACTAAGCGAAATACAACCACAACGTTGCTAAGATATTTGCAAAACTCTGGATCGCAGGTGTCTATGGTGGAGAACAAACGCACTATTGTCCTTTCCGGGGAGCATTGTGATTTCAACTACAGCCGCAGCTTAACCGGGTTCTATGCTGATTTGGGCGCCTCAGACTAATCCCGTTGACGGGTGATTGCTGTGGCAAAGATTGATAGAAATAGCTGAGAGACAGGCGAAACGAAGGACCCGTATGGTGTGGTGGTGAACGCGTTACTCCCGCAAAGGACAATAGCGCGTTCGTTCCCCACCATAAACATCTGCGGTCCAGAGTTTTGCAAATATCTCAGCAACGTTGTCGTTGTATTATTTTGGGTATAGTTTACAGAAAAAAATTTAGGATAGAAACAATTCAGAACAAATGAAATTTCATTCTCAACATCGCAGGACAAATATAAATACATGAAATCTCACTGCTCCAATGCCCATAGTGCGCAGCAAGCTCACAGCGAAACAAATTTAACCCTGACCACCACTTCTGCAACTAAACTGTACGACAAGCTTTTTGTTTCTATCACGTCATAAATATTTAAAATTCCATAGCGTACACAAGCTCAAAGATTTATCACCATTGTGCAATGAACTAATTCTACGAGGAATGAGAACAGACCAGAATTTTACTCGAACCTATATAAGACCAAGCCTCAGAAACCTTTCTAAGAACTCTTCCAGTGCTGTTGTTATCGACACCTACCGGATTCTGTTCCTCACCCAATGATATGTTAAAAGCGTTTGGATCGGTGCTAAATTATGCACATTTGCCCACACACTCAAACTACGTACTCAGCCTAGTATGAACACGAAAACAATAAACGTGTTTACGGAAAACCGAACGTACGACCTCACAGATTCAAAATACTATCACGAGCTGATAATAAACGCATTGTATAGCTGGTATTTCTCACCTTTTCGATATATCACACAGCAATAACCTTATAAACACTGTAAAACGATGTGATTTTAACATAAAGAAAAAACATTAAATTATAGTTCAGAAATAGCCGACGTCTGGCTTGAATTATATAGATTACGCAGGGATGTTTTATGTACATAAGGCTTTGCCTTTTTTTTGAGCTAGCTTTCTACCTAACGCTGCCATCAGCAATCACCCGTCAGCGGGACTGACCTGGGCATATCCCCGAACACCTGGAAAGAATAATCATGGTTCGATCTGCCTCGAGGTCCAGGCTTCGCAAATATCAGCACCATTATGTTGGTGGTATCTATTCAGAATATTCCATATTGAAATTGACTTTTTATAACGCAATCGCTTTTAGTTCATGGTACGGAACGTTATCTAAATGCAGGATAAACGCAAAAAAAAAAACAGAGACACAAAAGAGCGACTTTGCACTTGTTTCTGGTGTCCCGAACAAACACATTAGCTATGCATCTCCCATATCTAGCAGACTAAGCCACCGTACCGAATTGTAAGTTGTACATAGGAATGAAGAAAATCCACCGTCCTGTTTCTAGACATACAAAAGACATAGGTGTAGACGGAATTCCAATGATTATACAGTGAACACTCGACTCGTTATGCCATCGAAGTCACTAGTCAAAGTACAGAAGACATAGAATTTTACTGTTCACTAGGCAACAGCTACTGAAAACTACAAAAATAGGTAGCTTCGTAACCTTCATATTATCTCCAACGGAGGAAAAGGGAAAGTTACGCGATGAAGTACCTGGCATAATGGAGGTAATGCGCTAGCTTACTATGAAGCCGGTAAATCTTTCCCTCGTACTGGAATTCAAACTAAGGTGTACACCTTGTAAAATGATACTTTTGGTAGAATTCGCACTAGGAGATTTCACACTGAAAACCACCTTAGTGATTGAACTACAGAAGATAGAATAAAACGAACGGAACATTGCCTCACATACCAGGGGTCAGAGGGCTGGGTGGTGTTAATTATGTCCAATGATAATATACCACTCAATACATTTGTAAAAGAAGTAAAAAGAGATGGTGTAAAACTCGTTTTAAAAAAATACCTCCTTGATAACCTTGGAGAGATGATCCATGTCACTCTTTTCATCAAAAAGGCTCTTTCTCTTAGCCAGCTCGGCTAGCTTTTCCATTTTCCCACAAGTTTGACTCAAATCGCGACCAATTCGTCTGGAATCGATTTAATTTCGTTTAGGTCAATGTATAACCCAAAGTGAAAGCAAAGATTACAAGAAATCTGTAAAAATAGAGAGTTACCAGACGAAAACTCTAAGCCTCACTTAGCAAGTTGGTTAAATTGCACCGAATCACTTAAGATTTCCTTCTTTGTTTCGAGAACGAATCCGTTAGGTTGACCCTTCATCTAGACAATGAAACGCAAAATAAGAGCAGAGATCTATGATAAGTCAAACATAAAATGAGAATTGTTCAAAAAAAACACCAACCCGACAAAATGGACATTCTAAGCACAAAAGTATAAACCTGTAAAGACTTGCAAGTGGTCTTGAACTCAGCAGTTCGGTCTCTCGACGGCATTGTAAAGGCTATAATGTTGACGGGAGCGCCAAATACACTTAACACAGGAAACTCTTCGACGAAGTCGCTTAGGTTCAACTGCTCAAATGAGTACTGTAGAGGCGATTGAATGTTAGAAAATGCCTCCTGAACTAGATCGATAACAACCCTGTGTGGTACTCTGATTTTCAGTACTTCACTCACCTGAGCTGAATTCCAAAGTTGCACAGACGAGGCCCCGAAAGCGATACTATTAAGTGGATTGTAGTTCCCAAAGAACGATGAAGAAGTACTAGCAGACTCTTTCTTAGTGTCGTGGTCGTCAAAAGTACGTGTGGAGGGCCTAGAACTGCAATCCTCAACACGTCGTCGTGACCTGATGGAGAAATCCGACATTCGACATCAACCAATTCGGACTAAAAAAGTGTCCTTTTAGGATTTGTCAGTCCATAAGCGTGAAAGAAGAAAGAAACGAAGTTTATCTAGCGCGATATGCCACGTACACACACGAATCCCGAAACCGGCAAGTATCGATCTCTCGCATAAACAGCTGATGCAATTGGTGCAGTATGTTATGGAATTCACGCCTACAAAATTTCGCTTAATTTCTTCTTTAATGTTCTCGTCTTCCGTCTAGTTTTGTGATATTTCCGGGCAGATATATCTTGTTTAAATACTTAGAAGACAATAGTTTTTAAAAGACGACACTCCGTAGAGCTTATATCTTACCGAACATGGGCTACAGTATCCGGCAAAGACACGTATTCTTACTTTACCGTAATCTTCAAGAACAGTTTACAACGTACTTGTACTAGCCTAGTCACGAGTATTCTTCTTTCTCTGGTGAGCCCTCGATACCAGGTTTTTCATGGGGTCTCACTATCGTCTTCTGTGCTATCAGACGGCTGTTCATGTCTTTTATGCTTCTTCTTAAGTTTCACATTTGAAATTCATGTAAGACGTAGTTCCGAGATATTTCTTTGGTACGGTCATAAATCCATTTGAATGTTAAAGTTAAACAAAGAACAGTTAATTGCCCTTTCGAACTAGAGACGTGTCCCATTGTTTTGATGGATGACGTTTTCACTGCTGACTCCTAGTTCGTGTTAGCATTAGGCTCTCCAGTGGTATGTGAACCCTCTGGAACCGTTCCTATGCTTAACTTATCCGGAATTCTTGTTAAAATCCGCGTCTTCTATGTATAGTTTACATATGCGGCCTTAGCTGTTATCTGATTAGTGTGTGATGGGCAGGTTTTCGCGACTTTTAGCAATGTCGAACGTTTTATATAGAGACTTAGAGAATACTTGTCATATTACTTGCCTGAATACTCGGACGGACCGTCTTCACTGGTTGTCCGAGCCCCAGCATATTCTCCATTTTTAGTATTGCTGGTTTATTAACTGTGATTCTCTGGAGTTCCGTTGTCAGGCAGATCAAAGTCTACCCTAGATCGTCATCACCACAGGCAGCAGTCGCTGTCCCTGTGGATCAGAGGGAGATTGCCACCGTTCGACTAGTTTGCTACCAGGAAGGTGGTGGATCCTGGTATTGGTTTACTTTTAGCTGGGCATCCTGATGAAAACACTGGACTTCTCAGCTTAGAAGGTCTTGCTAGGGAATGAACCCCTTCGCTGTACATACACGTACACGAGTTGGATATATTCGAAAACTGTGGACACTTAGACGGAAGAGCATGAAAGATATGTAGGACGTAGAGAAAGAAAGAGATGGGGAAGAAAATGCGTGCAAAACTATATCATGGAAAACACGAATGAGATGTGTGCTTATTTTCGAGGGCTAAGCGGATCGTATGCGTTTATTTCAATGCGCTTCACATATTTCGCAAATTAGCCGTACCAGGGTGGGAGCGCTACCTAAGGAGTATACATTGTCACAACAAATGGCTAAATATGAAACGTGAAGATTATCAAGAATAGGTATTCTAGATTTGGCGAACAAAACGGCTGCAATTGTTTCTCGTAGTCACAACAAGAACCTTAAAGGTAACGTAAATTTGCATCATTTATTAAAGAGCTGACTGAACTATTATGTAGGATTCGCGCTCGAGTACTCTGACAGGTGATAAAAGCTCTAAAAAGCTCTCGGCGTTGATCAATCCCTTAGAGACGCACCATTCATTCGACTTCATTGATCGTCGTTGAAGGTGATTGAATGCACATCTGGCCTTTACAATGGCTCATTGTGTGTACCGATGGATGTATCGAGCCAGTGCTGCCATCCTCTCAGACAAGTCTGGTAGCATTTTGCCGACCTCGGAGGGGTGGAAGGCTTGGTAAGCATAAGGCACGGGGATCGATCCTATGTGTTCTGCATGGCGTCCCAGACCACTGCGCAATATGCGCGCTTGAGGGATGACGTAAAATAACGGCATTTGTCGCAAAAAACATGATTATTCATGCCACAATGTTTTGTAAAAGTTTAGTGATGCTGGAATTCGGCTCGAGTGTAATATTTTCAACACCTCACTCCCTGCTTCAGCTATTCAGAATTATACCGTTCAAATAGTTATTTTGGGAGAGAGAAACATGCAAAAGCTTACTTGATACTTGAATGGCCCGTCCTCACTGGCTGTGCGGGCACCAGCATTTTTCGGAGATTTGCTGGTTAAGCTATTATGGTTCCCTGGAGGACCGAGGTCGGCCTGGCTAAAGTCTGCCCCGGGTCTTCACCACCATAGGCAGTCGCAACCCTTGTGGATCAGAAGGGAAGTTGCCACTATGTTAATAGTTTGATACCAGGACGGTGGCGGATCCTGATATGGTTTACTCTTAGCTAGGCTTCCTGATGGAAATGCCGGACTCCTCAGCTTGGGAGATCCTGCCGGGAGGATGGATCCACCGTTGTACATCGAAACCCGACACCGAGAAACACCTCCCAGCCAAGATGAGGCGGTAAACTGTTGAGAGGATTTAGAGGATACTTATTTTATTACTTAGAATTGTAACTAAACTAAACTAACTGCTTAACTAATTACACTAATTGTGTTAGAACTAGGTAATATTACTCAGAGTAGAAACTTAGAGAATGTATAGTCAAATGGATGCCATGTCCTGTAATCGGCTTTCTTTACAGTTTCTGGTTAACGCTGCTCACCCAACAGAGTATCACCACGTGTTCTTAAGGTTATCCTATGTTGCACATATGATTCAGGGATATTTTTCGTCTTAAAAATCGATTAATTGGAGGCAAAAGCGCTACTACCAGGAAATAGTGGAGCACCAAAATCCTTTGTTTATTTTCCGCAATGAATAACATACATTTCTTTATTTTCGATCACTTTACAATAGTGATCGAGCCGGGCGCGGTGGTAACGCTCTAATTGTTCCTCTGCTAGAGAGGTGGCCTGCTCACGGGCAACACACTGAAAATGGACGTCCGGTAGAAATCGCTTAAATCAACACATCGCTTCGAACAAGATACGAATTCAGTCAAGCACGGCGAAATAATTGGTTTGGAGAGTCCACAGATCGTTTGCTTCTTTGCTTTCTTGTCAGCTAGGTTAGTTTTGTCTGCTGTGCATAATTCGGAAGAAAATCAAGTTCATGAGAAACCCGTGGTGCAAAGTGAATGAAGAGGAAGAGAAGCATGAGCAGTCCCACCTTCTGGTAGAAGCAATTGACTATGCCATGGACTACGAAATCTGCACTCACCTCTTCGATTCGACGTTTTTCCAAGTAGTATGCTTGTAGGAAAGCCTTCGACTGACACTTCAGTCACATGGGAAACTGCGCATGGAGCAGTCTGCGATCAGCAGAGTACCTGAGGAGTGAGTACTGAAATTTTATCAACACACACAACACCTATCCAGAATTCGCAGTTTAGATGTACCAGAACTATCACTCATCCTTGAGATGCAGGAACATGTACAGCAATTGTGAAACACAAATGGAAAAAAAGCACCATGTTAGAAGCAGGTCACCACCATGGATAATGAATGCGCAACATGGGAGCGGAATATATGGTGCTGCCCGCACAACCCATGAAGACGAGCCATCTAGCTGCCAAAATGTCGTATATATATATATATATATATATATACATGTAAATATATATACACACTATTCATATGAAAGAAGGATAAAGCTCTCGACGTTGATCAATCCCTGAGGGATGCGCCATGAGGTGATTAATCTGGCCTTTACAAATGACCTACCGACGGTGGCCTACCGACGTATCGAGCCAGTGCTGCTATCCTCCCAAACAAGTCCAGTAGCAATTTTCCGACCCCGGAGAGATGAAGAGCTTGGTTATCCATGGGCGCGGGGATCGATTCCACTTGTGTGTCGCAGTGGCGCCTCCAACCACTACGCCACATGCGCCCTTTATACGTTGTATATATATATGTATATAGCCATGAAATTTACTTAGACTTTGAGGTTTTAAGTAAGCCTGCTTCTATATAAATGAACTGCTCGTAATATCTATGTTCTACCAACTTGGAAACATTTCAGTGTTGCTTAAGATTGTTCAGTGTTGCTTAAGATTGATGTCTTACTTGTGAACTATTTCCACAGAATAGCAAAATATCTCTTTAGGCCTTCATTTCTCTGAGGATTTTCATATTCTTACCGTGTTTGGAGAATGAATTCAATTCTCAGTGCTCTGATGGTCGATTTGTGCTCCCCAGATCAATCGCGCTGACGGGTGATTACTGATGGCACCGTTAAGTAGAAAACTAGCTGAGAGAAAGGCAAAGCAAGAGCGTCCATGGTGCATTGTGTAACGCGCAAACCCCGGAATAGATAGTGGTGGTTCGATCTGACCTGGGGTCCAAGTTTTATGAATATCTCAGAATCATTCAGGTCTCAGTTTTCATCTAAGATTAAAACATTAGCGACCGTACTGGTTTCTTTATAAGTGGTAGTAATCTCTCGTTTATTGTCCTTGTTGAGAACATCACAGTCCAAGAAAAGAAACTTGCTTTAGCGCTATAAGGATAAGTGTGATATTTTACAAACTACTATTTCAGTTTTAATTTAGTTTGCAATTAATATTAAATAAGGGCTAAGGTGAAGTTTTTAGAATTCTCAGCGCAAAAAAGGAACACCAACACCAGCACTGGAAAAGAGTACCATCTTCTACCGGGCAGGATTCTGTTTGTTCCGTTTTTTGCGGTACGGCTCTCGAGGAAGAGGACGAGCGAAAAGTGTGTTTTGGAATAGGAATCATAACAAGAATAAGGAAACTTTTACTTGGTTGGCAGCGATCCGAGGTGTTTGGGAAAGGTGAATAGATTTGTTGAGCTAACAGTTATGGCGGCGTATGATCTTTTTATCTACTGCCCATTATTTTTTCACGGCAGGGTATTATATGAAATGCAACCACAATGTCGCTGAGACATTTACAAAAGTTGGACCCTATGCCAAATCGAAGCACGATTACCCTTTCAAGAGACTCACGTATTAACCACGACAGCACTGAGGCCCTCGTTCTGCCTTTCTCTCAGACAGTCTTTCCACTCTAGCGGTGTTATCCACAATTTGACAATAATCGTTTGTTTTGACTACAACAACGGTACAAGTTTATCTAAGTGGCTTTCATAGTACTGTCCTCAATAAGGATCGTAGTGTAGCTGTCCTCATGATGTTGTTAAGATGTCACTTCTTAGGGAGAACCACTTCAGTTTGTTTGTGGAGTGTGGCTGTTCACATGTTCTTGAAATATTCAACTGAATTTGCTCTTCCGGATGAACGACGCGTTGCTAGTACCTCTGATGCACATATGTTCTTGGCAGTGTTTGCGAACTCTTCTCAGAGAAACATATCCTTCTTGAGAACTCTAAGAATCTCTACATTTACATGTTCTCATTTAAAATATCCCTTGTTTTACTTTTGTTTATATCTCGTTCTTCAACGGGGTGTTATTTGGGAACGTATATCCCTATAATGATCAGTCAGATCCAATCAAATCGTTTTCTTTTTAGGAATGTACTACTTGGGTTACCTGCTCTGGCTCCCAACCTTAGTAGCTCATCAAGCAGGTCAATTTCCAGGACAGGACGGCAACCAACTTCCGCAGGTAGCAGATTTGATTGTCGTTCTCTCTCTCTCTCTCTTTTTCTCCTTCTCCCTCTCCTTTTATGTGCTTTCTCTTCTTATTTTAACTCTACTAAACGAATTGAATGACACGTTGGAACACTGTGGTCTTTTATGAAATACAACCATAATGATGCCGAGACGTTTACGAAATTCTTAATCGCAGGTGTCTGCCGTGGAGACCGAATACGCTACTGCCCTTTCCGGTGGCTAACGTGTTCACCACCACACCATGCGGGTCCTTCGTTTCGCCTTTCTCTCTACTGGTTTTCTATCTGCCAGTGCTAGCAGCCGTAAGAGTGTCTGCGGTGGGGAAATGTGCTGTCACCCTTTCTGTGGGCTAACGCGTTCACCACCTCACCATGTGATGGTTTCCTATGCGATGCCATTAGAAAAGGATAGGCACTAAGTAAAAAAATGAAGTCTTTGTTTATTTACTAGTTTTGCCACTCTGATAGGGTACTGTTCGTTTGTGTGTAGCGCTTTCGTGAACTCGTATTCGTGAACGTTCGTGATTTTCTCTATACTAAAAGGTGATTTATTCCTAGGTACACAATCAACAGACGCCATCCGTTCGTTATGTAAGACAGTTTTTCAAAAGTGCTCCTGTTTATAATTTTTTCCGTAGTTTAAAAGAGGACCAGTTCTTATGCTGAACATGTTAAATAGATTATCTTTTTTGGGCCGCGTCAGAGGTACCCATAAAACTCTTCCGCATAACTGTGGCCATTTATCCCTAATATGTTAAGTAGTCCGGATGTAAATGTGGTTTTAAAAAGAAGCTTCTACTATGGGTGAGGAATGGGATCTAATTTCAAAAACTGGAGTAGTAGTTAATATAGGAGTCTTAGGAGTCTTCTAAAAAATATGCTAAGAACCTTTTAAAAAATAGTATGTAAAAAATGGATATTGCTCTCGGCGTTGATCAGTCCGTGAGGGATGCGCCGTGCATTGAGCTTTATTAAGCATCGGGGGTGATTAAATGGATTTCTGGCCTTTACAATGGCTCGCGGTGGCCTACCGTTGTATCGAGCCAGTGCTGCTATCCTCCCAGACAGCTCTTGTACCAATTTGCTGACGCCAGAGGGATGGAGAGCTTGGGAGCTGGGGCGCGGCAATAGATCCGAAATGTGATGCAGGGCGCCTCAGACCATTGCGCTTTACGCGTCCCGCGAAAATAGTATGTAGTGGTATAAAGATAACAGTAATGTAAAAATGTAAAAGGGCGCTTGTGGTGCAGTGGTTGGAGGCGCCCCGCAAAACACACGTGGAATCGATCCCAGCGCCCGTGGCCCACCGAACCTTCCATCCCTTCTAGGTCGGCAAATTGGTACCAGATTTGGAAGGATAGCAGCACTGGCTCGATACATTGGTAGACCACCGTAAGTAATTGTGAAGGCCAGATATGCATTCATTCACCTCCAAACGATGCTTAATGAAGTCGAATGCATGGCGCATCCCTCGGATTGATCAACACCGAGAGCTTTATCTTTTTTATCACTAATAGTAGCCAAAAAGCACGTATTGCTGAGGATGTTTGTGCAGCAAATAAAACAACGGGAAAAAGTCGCTAATGACTCACACTGGCCCTAGTTCCCGGCAGATTCTATTTAATGAAAGAGATTTGTGGTACTCGAAATGCGGTCCGGGTATCTTAGTTCTGTGGACGCAGAGCTGGTGCAACATTGACAGTCTAATTTAGTTCTTTTATGGTGTCTTTATCGTCTTTTTCGACGAGAAAATTTATCATGAAGGTTATGGTGACCGTAAAGTACATTTCGCTGACCCCTTCAAATTTAACCTGGTGGAGATCTCATGGTGTTCGGAACTCTCGAACAATTAAGGAGCCGCACTTGTAGATATCAATAACATGTTCATATCGACATCACTACTGAACGGATACCCTTAAAATCTTTTCTTAATAGGTTAACAGCCTACAGTGCTCATTTTGAAAGTGACTGGTATCCTCAAATGAAAAAATGAAAGGAAAAATCCCACGTCAGTTTGTCAAGCCAACTGTTTACTTCTCGTGCATCAAATATAATGTTTCTGTTGAGTCACGTATGACTCTTGCCTTCGCGAATGTATGAAATAGTGTTAAATAATGTAGTCTAGAACAGGGAGGCATAATAGTCAAGAGTTAAGCCGACAGTTGTCGATTATTCCAGCTGGAAACTTTTTTCGAATAAGTCAGTAGGTATTGTGACAACTGAAATTGAACAAATGGTATTGTTCTTTTATAGCTTTTGTAGTAGGAGTGGATTGCATACTAAGTCAAACAAAAACTACTATTTCGAAACCGACTTTCCTTGAACCTCAGTGTGACTAATCAATATGTATTCTTTCTTTGATGAGCTTACACGAAGTTGGTAATTATATTTATTTTCGGCTAACGTTTCAACGTCTTCGTCTTCCTCAGAGCCCATGATCCGCGTGTCTACATTCGAGTCGATGGTCCGCGCTTGTTATTCGTCTCGACGTGGCAGCTTCGCCTTCGTGTCGAGTCAGGTCTTCCTCAGCGGGCCATCTCCTCGAATACTCACTTGGTGATGCCCTTTTATACAGGTTGCTGATGGTGGATAGCTGTGATTGTCCGGTGATAGTCCGATAAAAACTACTGTTGTTAAACTAGGTGTCTATTTTCCGGTTAGAATTGTAGACACCGTCGAGCACTCTACCTTTGACTATGTCAAAGTGTCAATATAGTGAACGAATTTCGACGGCTGATTATTCGAAAGAGTCAACTCAGGACACTTATATAAATAGGCGTACAATTCCAAGATATGCTTTCGTCTCTAGGGTTATCTCTATACCAAGTTAGGTTTCAATTTTAACATCATGCGGATATAACCATAATGATGGTGAGATATTTGCCAAACTCCGGACCGCTGGTGTCTGCGATGGGGAACGAACGCACTATTACTCTTTTGGGGACTAACGCGTTTCCCACCACACCATGCGAGTTCCTTTGTTCCTCCTTTCTTTCATACCTGTTATTGACCTACAGGTGCTATCAGCAATCAGCCGTCAACGGGTCTTGATCTTGGGAGCACAAATCGACATTGAAGCCAGTTAAGCTGAAGCTGTAGTATAAACGATAATGTAGTATTAAAAAATAAGGAGTAAATAAGAAGCTAATTACACTATGCTGATATTTCAAAAATAGTTGCTCCCCATTAGCGCACTGTCAGAAGGAAGCCACTGGAAGTTAGTAGAAGTAGGTTCAGTCAGGTCCGTAAAGAGATTCGGAGTTTCAGCGGAAGCACAAGGTGGATGATCGACGACGCGACTTCTGAGACTGTATGTAGTGTGGGATATCAGTCGTGTCAGACACTTAAGTTATGGTCAATTGATGAACAGTAACTACAACGGAGTGAATTCTGCGGTTGCCATGATAGGGTGCCTGCTGACAAGGCAGCTATTCATGAGCATTCTGAAAGTCTTTTTTTTAAACAACCGGCGTATTTTTCGAACCAAGAGCTTGTTGTTTAGTAGATTTATTCAGGCGAATTCGATCTCAGCACATATCCTTTTATACTACGAATTAATGTCCACTTCCAAGCATTTGTGTTTAAGGGCCAACATCAGCAGCCGACACCTGCCCAGCAGGTTCCTCCAGCTCCACCTAAGTTTGGAGGTGAAGAGGCAAAAGATGAACAGTCAGTTCTTCCTTCATTTGGTATTTATTGGGTCATTATGTGTAAAAAAGGCAGAGAAATGATTACTTTTGGAGAAAGAAGTTTTGTAGTTATTTTCGATACTCAGTTGTCTCAAAAGATTCTACGTTTTTAGACACATCAAAGAACACTTGGAAGGTAAAGTGGACCCCACGGCTAATATGACACCTGAGCAACTTCAATTTCATTACTTTAACATGCACGATCTCGACAAAAATGGGCGACTGGATGGTGTGGAGCTTATAAAAGCAATAACGCACTTTCATATGGGTACGTTCAAAAGGGCAACATTTATCAATGGTGTCATTAAAGCGGCGATGTTCTACCATGAAACTAAATCCTAGTTTTTGAGTTCTAGAATTATTCATTTGAAATTGGACAAACTCACAGCGTTTATCCTTGACCGAATTCCTTTTCCAGAAAATCCCGGCCCTCAACAAAATGTTCATCAGCCACCGCTTTTGCCAAGTGAATTGGAGTTAGAATCAATGATTGATTCAATTTTGAGGTTCATACCTAGAAATGGCTGTTTTATATTCTATAAAAATATGATCAATGATGATCAGGTTTTCAGAGATGATGATTTTAATTCTGATGGCTACATCGACTACGCAGAATTTTTGAAAGCACAGAAAATACGCGAAGAGCACGCCAGAGCGCAACACCAGCAACAACAACAGCCACAACATTAATTGTCAGTGTTGTTCTGGTTTTTGTGCTCCTCAACTTCTACGAAAGGGAAGTGATACTATTGGCCGTTCAAGCTATCTTTTCTATTAAATATGGTGACCATGCTTATTCCCGTTGCTTGGGTTCTTCCTTTCGTCAGTCCCAAGGTTTTTATTTGGCCTTTATCTTATGTATCTCATGATTAGGTGGTTTTGATTGCGCACTGTAGCCATCTTTCTTGCGGAACTTTTGGTAGTTATATACGACTCATTGTGATTCATTCCTCTATCTGCATAATTTTTCGCATAACGTATTGTTTCAGATTTTTCTTGTTGTTTGATCCTCATTTTGTGCTCCTCTAATATTTTTATTTTATATACACTGCGCTTGGTAGAATTTTTGGAACCACACCAATTGTTAGAATTTTAAATTTTTTCGAATCTGTTGATAGCAGAAGTGTTGATTAGCCTGTAGCATGTACTTGATTGCGCACTGTACTAGTACATTAGTATTGGACGACACATGCTGATTTTCTGTGAATTTAAATTTCTTATGAACTAATCCACCTGAAGTTGTACAAACTAAAATTCTGCTAGGTTATTGGGAGATTATTACAGCATGTTCACACTTTTCATACATTTCAATACAAAACCCTGGACCGCAGGCATCTGCATTGGAGAGCGAACGCGTTATTACCCTTTCCGGGAGCTAACGCGTTCACCGTCACATCGTGGAGGTCCTTCGTTTCACCTGCGTTCCGAAATTTCGCGAGTGTCTTAGCATCATTATGGTTGTATTTCACATAATACCTTGCCGTTAAGAAAAATTGGACTAAGCAGCAAATAAAAATGGACGTAGAAATTAAATATTTTTTGGAAGAATGTTTTAGTGTATGATGTGGTCACTACAGTAATTGATTACTTTGATCTAGCGCTTTTTGGCAACTTGGATGCTTCTTTTCGCAGAACTGCGACAGAGTTCAATCGATGATTTTTTCGATCCAAGTAGCGAAGGGAGTTTTATAGAACTCGCAAAAGTGAAGATCAGACTGGCAAGATCAGGGTCATACGGATTTGAACACATGTGTGCAGACAGATTGGCACGATATGGTGGCATCTATGACTTCTTATCATCGAAAAAGGTCGAAACTTCGGATTCCCACTCTCACTTGCTTGATGAGGAATACTTACATATCCCATATCACGTTTCAAAGCATCGATAGACCTTTTACCGCGCTTGCATGACGAAAGGGTTTGTGAGGTGTTCATTAAGCAAGGAAAAGTTGTGGAGTCGAAAACGTAGATCTTGATAGGGATGTCTTACTTCTTATTTTTTTTGTTTTCTCCACAACTTTTACGATATTCTTGAAAGCTGTTCAGGACGCTTGCTTCTTCCAGCTAAGCCATGTAGCTAAGTGGTTGATCCCGCGAACCAGGTATACATAAATGGAGCGTTCGATCATATTCATTTCGTGGATGGAACATCGCAAACAAATTCGCTTTTTACCAATATCGCGAGATTTAGTCGAAGTTCAGTCTTTCTACGACCGTTGTTGACATCGGTCAATATTCGCTTCGCTTGGTTAGTGCTCGATTTTTTATTCTTTTTACATTACTAGTATTCACATCTACTGTAAGGATCCCAGCACTCATTACAGTAGTTTCGTTTCCTCGCATCCATCATCCAGTAAGGTCTTCCAACTTCCTACATGTGGCGTCGACTGCTGCTTGAGGATTTCCATTTTGTCTTGAAAGTCGTAGAATACTGGTTGAGTCAGTTCTAACTGGAATCCTGAGATAACCTGACTGGAGCTCTTCCACTTAGATTGCAGAAAGTGAGTTGTGCCTGGGCAAGTCTGCTATACGTCTCCCAACTCTGAAAGGATGAGAGCCTTGGTGAGCCGGGTGCGAGGTTAAACCAGCACCGCTCTCGTGGTGGACGGCTCTACTACCACTACGGTGCCTACCCCATAGTTCGTGTTATAAGAACGCTGTCATCAGCAAAACGAAAGTGGTGTAATTGTCAACGGTATAATTTCACTCCCGTATTGTCTCATTCCAAATTTCGAATGACGTTCTCGAAGGTGGTTGTAATTAATTTTGACAAGATCATATCAGACTATCGAACTCACTCCTTCACATCGATGCTGATGTCGTTATAAAATGGTGAAGTCCTGTAGTGAAATTCCTACACAGCCCACGAGGAATCTGCATATACTCAGCGGAGATGCCCTACATATCCAGAGCTCCATAACTGGCTGGTCTGAGTGGAGTCAAAGACTTTTTCCAGGTTGATAAAAATGGGATAGAGCGATCTTGATACTTTCATGATGTTTCAGGTCTCGTTATCGTGCGCATATGATCAACCACAGTTAATTCTTTTCGAAACCTTGCTAGCACACATGGCGTTCATAGGTGCAGTATTCTATCATTAATAATGAGAATGACTCGGAGTTTATAGATAGCAGATGGCATGCAGAATGGAGAATAGTTTCTAATGTCGTAAAATTCGTTTTTTTTTTTGTTAAGGCCTGCAGTTCTACAGTGACTAGAGATCCTGGATTCCGACAGGTGACATCTGGAAGGTCGCCGCAGTGTGTTGATGATGACTGGTGGAAAGTTCTTCAGATGTTTTGGTCTAATTCTATCAGGACAGCGTGTTGTATGACGGTTTCTTACCCACCAGGTAGCACATCGGACTTCAGAAAGGAGAACGGCGGCAGGACATATCTATTCTTCCCAATTTGAGGGGGGATATGAAGGCAGGAAGACGTGGTTGGTGAATAGATCACAGTAAAAGTAACAAATGTTTTCCTTATTGCCTGGAAATAGTAACTCTTCCATCTGGGCGCAAAAAGTGTCCGATTATCCGGAACGTGTTATTGGCGAGTTTTCGGTAAGAGTTGCGGTTGGCCTTCTCACTCTCCGTAACTTTCGATATACTGCTGCTCTTCTATAACTTAAATTTTCTTTTATCGTCTTTCTTCGCGGCTTTGTGAGTTCGAACATGAGTTTGCAATTGGCTAGTGTTTCCACAGTTCTATGTATTAGGCAAAGTATCACATCACCTAAAGTCTTTCTACAGACAGGCTCTTTTAGTGATTTTCTCTTGCTTTATTAGAGTTAACGTAAAGACGAGTTAGCCTGCCGTATTCATCGTGATGTTGTCGAAACAAACAATTACAGAATAGGCCAAAACTTCCTTACTGTAGGGAATCAAAGAACATCACATCTTTCTTCTAGCGTTTTCATGAGGAACTATGACCAGTAGGATTGGTGGTCTTCCTGCAATACGTCTGATATCCCGAGGTATCAGCTCACTAACGGATCATGTCCATCGGTTGTCGTTCATACGCATTACGTGTCCGGCCCACGTTATTTTCGACTGTTTAGCGTACACAACGGGATCTTTGATATTTGATCGTTGACGCAAGTCGGAGCTACGGATTTTGCATGATTTGGAATACTCCTATCGTCGTTCTTTCGACTGCGCGTTCAATAACACTGAGGGCTCTTTTATCCAGTTTACGCAACCACCAGGGTTCTGACGCATACGTTAAAACAAGAAGAACCATGAACTCGAGAAGGTGGACATGGAGTCGGGTGTTCTTTGTTTTTGTCACTACCTCCTTGATGCTCTTGAAAGCACTCCAAGTCTCTCGCTTCTTCTTCCTGAACTGAAGAACTAAGTCGCTCATAATACAGGTTTTCCGACACAAATAGGTGTGGCTGAAGCACTCGGAGACATTCATTCCGTTGAGTGTGAGCATGGCACATGTAACCCATCCGTTACTCATGAACATCGTTTTTAGGAGATTCAGTCGAAGATCAATTATCGGCGTGCATTCGTTCCGCTTGGCTAATGTCTGCTGTTATAAGAACGATGTCATCAGCAAAGCGAAGATTTTGTAATTGACGAACCTCGATTTCATGTTTTCCCATTCCAATGTTCGCATGACGTTCTGGAAGGTGGCGATAAATAATTTTGGTGAGATGGTATCGCCTTGCCTAGCCCCGTTTTTACGTCCTTTACGTGCTAATATCGTTGTAGAATGGTGACATTTTGACTGTGAAATTTTTGTACAGCTCACAAAGAATCTTTATGTACTGAGTAGGGACTCCTTGACTATCAAAGGCTTCCAAGACTGCTTCTATCTCAGTTGAATCAAAAGCCTTCTGTAAATCGGTGAAAGTGAGACAGAGCGGTCATTTGTACTCTCGCAATACTTCAATGAGCCGTGTTGCCGTGTGGATGTGGTCCATCGTACTAAATCCCTTTCGAAACACTGCTTGCTCACACGGCTGTCCTTCGTCCAGTGTTCTCTAGACACTGTTTAGGATGACTCGAGTGAAAAGTTGTTGGCGAAAGGCACCAAGCACATTGGGCGATAGTTGCCGATATCGTATAGGTCACCCTTCTTGAACAACAACACGGTCTTGCTGGTCTTCCACTGAGTAAAGACCTTGCATTCAGACAGGTAACGTGTGAGTTTATGCCGAGCTTAGCCGAGCTAGTTTGTTTATGGGGACTGGCTGAAGGTTCTTCAGGTGTCCACATGTTATCTTGTCCAGACCAGATGTAACTCGATTCTTCAGGGACGAAATAGCATGTCGGATTTCGGATGAGAGCACCGGTGGTACGACATATCCGTCCACCTTTATTTCATATGAAAGCACGAGGACGTCGCTATTGAAGAGATCTGTCTGGGCCCCGGAGTGCAGTTATCCTTTTTTAGCAATTGGTGAAGGCTTCGACCATAACTGCTGCTCTTCTTTCTCTAAGGTCTTCTTTTATCGGCTGTTTGCTATGTTTTTCAAGTTCTGGCATGAGTTCACTGTTGCCTGTAGCTTGTGCGATTCCACGCTGGTGTATCAGCTCTAGCATTTCTGGAGACAGACGTCTCTTGATGACTTTGGAACTCTCAGGTTTCATAGCGCCAACGTGATGATGTTGAATGAGCCGATTGTATTCCTCGTTAATGTTATCCAGAACGGCATTTTCACAATATCCAGCTAATGAACTG